TAATTAAAGTAATAGGCAGATTGGCTTTGTGGTTAGCATTCTTGTCTTTCTGTGCTGGAGACCTCTGTTTGATACTGCAACAGAGCCCAGACAATAATAGTACATGAAACAATAGGACTTATATTTTAATAGTGCCAATTATTGTGATAATAATCACCCACACAGTCAAGGTAAAGTAACAGTATGTGAGTCAAAATGTAATGCTCAATCAAATAACGATTACAAAATTGAATTCTTCAATATAACAGTTCATATGATAACAATTAAATTTTTCATGCATGATTCAACTTTATTAAAGCACATTAATTGGGGAACAATCCCCACAATTATCGAGAGAAATAACAATAATCAAATAATTTCACTTCACAGTTGGCAAAATATAACAATATACTAGCAGCCAAAATAATAACAGCTTAAAAATATGCTGTCATTACATAGGGGGCTTACATATGAGAGCAAGACAATATAGCAAATAGAGCATAAATAACAAAACAATGCAAAGATATGTGCCAACAAAAGATATATGAAAAGATGTCACATATTGATCAACTCAATAGCATCCGTAGAGCCTGGGAATGAAACAATGGTGTGGTTGCTTCTGGTTCTGAATGTGTCCCAGACTAAGAAAAGTTTAAAATGGTATAATCAAGATACAAGACTGCCTCCAGTTTGTAGGGGTCTGCACAGACATATAGGGCAGAAATGCTGCCAATAAAGATTATGAAAGTCAAATAGTTCCTGTTGCTTCTTTTTGACTTCAGAGAATGGATGTTTCTTGAATCTTTGGAAATAATGAAAAGTAACCACAGGTCCCAAAATTCTTGAGCAAGAGTAAGAAAACTGGGCAAAGTTTGGACAACCTTTTCAGGGTCAATGCAAGCTTTTGTTATTAAAATAACATTAGTTGATATGTGCTTTCATTGATCAAATGTACTAATGGAAAAATACTAATAAATAAATAAATACTGCTCAATGGGAAGATCTTTTGATGCAGCTAGATATGTGCAGAATGGAAAAATGTGTTTAGTTTCATTTCGGATAGATTTGTTATGTTACTAATTTTGTTTTGTTGATTTGTTTTGGAATTTGTTTAGTTTCATTTAGTTTAGTTTGTTAATTTTCTAATGCATTCCAAATTTTCAGAATGTTTGGAATTCGGATCTGTCGAAAATTGATAATGATTATTTTTTTAATAAAGAACTTGTTAAAAACAGTTGTGTTTTTATTAACTTTGACTTTTTTTGTGAATGAGTTACTCATTCACATGGGGGGGCAGGATCTGGTGCCCCCTTGTTAGTGGGGGCTTCCAGTTTCTGATAAGTCACTCGCCCACATTAACATGGAGACAATGTACTTTAGGGGGACTACCCATTCCCCAAAGCTTCCCCCCATGTTGAGGGCATGTGGCCCGATATAGTTTGGGGGTGCTCGTTGCCCTCTCTATTCCTGACCTTCCAGGCTGCACGCTTGGATAAGAGTCTGGTGTATATTTTGAGGTGGACCCTGTGCCATTTTTTCTTTTTTAATTTTGGCGTGGGGTTCCTCTAAAAATCCATACCACACCCTAAGGGTCTGGTATGGAGGAGGGGGGGGGCACATTGTTTTTTTCTGAATTTTTAATTGCTGGCAATTCTTATATTTACTTTCAACTGTCAGCAGGGAAAATGTTGAATATTGGCAGTACCTTTAGTATGTAGTCAAACTGCTGTAGCAACTGGGAATTTGTTTACAGTGTCTCAGCTGCCATGTATCTCAAGCTTGAGTGCCAGTGACTTCAATGGCAATATCAGCAGGGACAGCAGAGGGAGCCCAGAAAAAATCTGTTCACTGATCTCCCCTATCTAGAATGAATGCAGAATCAATGACTTCTGGTTTAAGAGCTGTTATTCCCTAGCTCGGCTGGCCAGGGAAGAAACTAATCAAATATGATCTGTGCTTGTTTAACTTCAAAAGGAGTTTAGAGGTGACTTTATGGTTCTAATAAACCCGCAATGTCTCCTTAAAGAGATCCTGTCACCTACACTTGTCACCCCTCTTGTGAGTACAATAAAGTCGAGGTTTTAATAATTAAAGTCACCTATTGAAAATATTAGGTACTGTATTTTTTCACCGTTTCACAAATGCATGCAGTTTTGAGACTTAGTGTGTCTGCTATCTTTTTACTTGATGAAACCTTATCGCTATCATATTTTACCAAGAAACTATATTATTTTATGTTTCTGTTCACCTATATTCATTTGGCTGCTTATTTTATAAAAATATGAGTTTGGTAATCATTTTCTACTAATATTGTATGGTATAAAAAATTTAAACTGCCACTATTTTATTTTGAAAGTGTCTGCTTTCAAAAAATATATTATGTTTTAGGGGTTTTAAGCATAAGCATAAAATGTGCATTTAAATATGGCAATATTAAAAATACACAACTCTTTTAAATAACCTAGAGATGTAGATCCTAATCAATCATGATGAACAATGCCCACCAACCGAATGAAAGGAAAAATACATTCACTATCACATCCTCTCTAGTCTCTACTCCTCACCTAATGAAGGATTCCCAGCTGACAACTGCTAGCAGGGATGGCGGCTGATGCCACTGACCAAATATGTCCATTGCCATTGATCAAGTATGGAATATTACTTTGGTCCAAAACTGACCCTCATTCCCCAATTTATGCTTGCTATGTAACTCAGAATAAGGTTACTGTTCCCTTTATGACAGTCTTTTACAGTCAGAACAGGAGTTCTGTTCTGACACCCCTTCCAAGCCCTGTATCATTATTAACTGTGCTGAGTTCTGTTTTGAGCTTGCCTGTATGGGATTTTGTTTTTCACTGTAATTGCATTGTAGCTGATACACCTCTTTTACCTGTATACATTGTGATCGTACTTGGCTCATGGAAGCACCTGGTGCCCCATCAATCATAATTAATAAAATATTCATCCCTTTGATTTAAACATGGTTAGCCAGAGGTTAGGGGAGTTGTTTCCTTTATAGCAGATCAAAACTCAATGAAATAGATAAAAGAGCTCCTAATATGTAGCAAGATTTTTAATTAAATTAAAAAGTTGTTGGAACAACTTGGATAGATAATAGTAAACGTGCACATCTTTCAGACATCAACCCTTGCACAGAGCAGGCCTAATCCTCCTCTTCTCGGGTCCCCTGCTGGAACTCCTGGCTCCTTCTCTTCTTGGTGTGCCCCCATAGGAAGCCGCTTCCTATGGCAGTACTCCTGTGGACTAGATCCCAAGTCATCCTGCCTGTGTCCATGGATTCAACCCTGCCCTTGCTTCTTCATCACAGGATTAGATTGACAGCAATGGGAGACAACGGCTCCCAAAGCCTGTGAGGGCAGAGAGATCTACTACAAATGGGCACAGCACTAATCCAAGTGAAGACTCAGGTATGTATGGGGGGTTGGGGGGGGGGGGTGATGGGGAAATACTAATACCTAAACATTTTTTATCTTAAATCTTAATGCAGGGAATGCATTAAGGTAAAAAATGTTTAGGCTTTCGAACCACTTTAACTATTGCGTAAATTACTTTTTTACGATACACTGGCTGGTGTTTGTCTAAGGAGGTCCAATAGTTATAATGCAAGTAAGAATTGCAGAGTTATAATGTAAAAACATTTCAAGCTTTTCTTTAACCTCTAATACTTGAGGTTCATTTAATGTGGTGGGTGGCTTTCCACTGATAGAGGCTAAATGGTGTCACAACTGATATCTTAGAACACAGATCCAGCACTAGTTTCAATTTTCCTTTTAAATATAGGATCCTTTTTCCCTTGTACCCTACTAGTATTGCTTTCTATTTTTGTATGATCTCTCTATACACATTTTGGTACACTACAGAAATTATATACTTACATGTTGGTTCTGTCTGAATGCATAGTGCAAACATGTTTGGGCCATACTAAGGCACTGCTTTGGTTTGGTAAAGTATAAAGTATATTGTAATATAGGGTTTTTAAAAAGTAATTGATTTACAAGAAACGTTAGTAGCAGTTTTTTATGTTATTAATTATGGATAGTTTAAAGGTATTAATTTCTGTGTATTGTGTGTATATATACCCGTATATATATATATTTATACTGTGTATATATGTAGTACTACCCCTGTGAGGGTTGCTGTGTTTGGATAAAAGTGTGGAAAATGCAAAGTCAGTGAACAGTCCATGAGCTTGTTTTTTGTTATTTTATTAGGAGAATGTAACTTTGGATAAGTTAAAAGGGATTATGGGATGCCCACCTTAATTGAATCAAAGCAATGGGGAAAACTTTCTTCCTTTTTCACAGAAACAGATCCTAGACTGTTCGTTTTCTTGAAAGCCATCAGTCATTGTGGGTCGGTAGCAACAGCCCCATATGTAGTTCCAGCTCCACATGTAGTTCCAGCTCCACAGCCTGCAGAAGCTACCAGTTCTTCTGACTGCTCTGAAGATCTCCCAGGACAAGGATAAAGAATTAGGCACAGTGCTGTCCTTTGAAAGCTTGCTACATGTAGCAGACTCTCCCCTTGTGAATCTTAGGGTGTGCTGAAATACTCATTGTGTCCTCTTTTCTTCCAGGCCTTGATCTTGTTCATTCCGTACTGCTGAATGGATCCTCCTAAGCCAGCCCAAACCCAGCCTGGAGACCAGCCCCCCCAGACCTAGGAGACCCCTCCCAGGCCATCGACAGTCTCCGCAGCACTCCATCTTCCACCCAATTCTCCAGCTGGCCTGATTATTCCATATTTATGGGCTGTTCCACTACTCTACCAGGGCATCCAAACCTGGGATTGGTTAGACTCCCACAAACATGCAGATGAGGTCTTCACCTCTTCTGCCAATTAGCTTCTGGAAGGTTCCCATGGTCCTCCACAACCAGGTGGAGATGATAGTCCAAACCTGTTAAGTCACCCATCTTTGTCACCCCAACCTTAATCATAGACTCACACAGCTAGCATGAGTCATACACAATAGATTTGTCTACACTATTCCACTATTCTACTAGCACCAGGGGTGGAATGACCATTTGGAAACTCGGGCACTGCCCGGGGGCCCGGGGTCAGTATGGGGCCCCATGAGATGCCCCTGGTATCTTTTTTGTAAGCTTTTTTGAGTTTGGGTGAGGACACAGGGGCCCCATGATCCCCTATTTCCTGGGGGCCCCATGAGTTGTCAGTCCGCCCCTGACTAGCACATTAGAGAGTGATATATATATATAGATATATATATATATACAGGGTGCAGCAACATAACCTCCTTTTTTCAAAACGCAATAAAACCCATTTTATGAATCAGAATTGTTTTTATTGTCTTTAATAATGTAGGTACATATCTAAAGTTCTGTTTTACACAGTTTTGATAATCATATCAGGTAGGTGACGCCCCCCATTGTCCATACACTGAGTAAGCCGATTTCTGGCATTTTTCATGACCGTTACCAGCATAGCAGCGGGTATGTTGGCAATTTCTGCGCGGATGTTGGCCTTCAGGTCTTGTAGGGTCCTTGGACGGTTTACATAAACGTGGGATTTAAAAAAAACCCACAAAAAAAAGTCGCAAGGGGCCAAATCGGGGGAGCGGGCTGGCCACTCCAAATCGCCCCTTATTGAGATGAGGCGCTCCGGGAAGTGTTCCCTTAAAACAGCCATTGATGCTCTTGAAGTGTGAGCCATTGCTCCGTCCTGTTGGAACCAAATGTCCCCTAAGTCCAATTCATCAAGTCGTGGAAAAACAAATTCCTCCAACATGTTCACATACCGGTCTGAATTCACTTATTCAGTGTATGGACAATGGGGGGCATCACCTACCTGATATGATTTTCAAAACTGTGTAAAACAGAACTTTAGATATGTACCTACATTATTAAAGACAATAAAAACAATTCTGATTCATAAAATGGGTTTTATTGCGTTTTGAAAAAAAAGTTATGTTGCTGCACCCTGTGTATATATATATATATATATATATATATATATATATATATATAATATATATATATATATATATATATATATATATATTTGGTTACTCCCGTTCGCTGTGTCCTTTAACCTTTCCATATGCTCACTCTTGTTACTGTTATTTGGTGGAACTGGTTTTAACTAGTTTATGAGACAAGGAGGTTCCACAGAGGTACATACATGGGTGGGGACAAAGTCTAGTTGAGTTTATCCAGGTTTTCATCAAAGCACCTGTGAAAGGAGGACTGTCACTTCCAGGAATTTAAAACAAAATTCTGGGCTCCCCTTGACTGGAATTATACTGTATTTATCTATTTTGTCATCTATTATACATCTTTAAACCAAGCTATGTAATATACTACTTTTAAGTTGTTTGAATTATTGCACTACATTCACATATAATGGAAACCTGTTAACAAACAAAAATTAGGTAATAAAGATTACCGCGTTAATACATAAATCAACAAGTGTATTTGTTTTATGAAATGTATCTACAACACTAAAAATGTTTCAACATGCAAACATGTATACATAATTTAAAAACCAGACACTGAATATCACTGTGGTATTTTTTTACTTGAAGAAACTAATACAGTAAAGCTAATGCCAATTCATTATTAATGAAATTGCATGTGGCAAACTCTGTCACCCAAACTTATGTGTGGTATATATGACTTCATTACATTTAGGGCTGGTTCACACTTGTGCAAAAAAAAAAATGCAAGTAAAAACTGATATGCAGTATTTCTGTGAGTTTTCTGACTATATTTTGTGTCATAATTTCCTTTCCACAAAAAAATACAATAACATCATTATTAGTGGACACAAACACAATATAACTTACAAAATTCCTGCTAAATATAAAATATAAAACTGCATGGAGAAAATAAATAAAGCACCTCATGTGAATGACGTCTTGGGGATCATTAGCATGGGTGCTGTGGCTTATAGAGTATAAACCAGTTTTTGTTTTGTTACACTATGGTGATGCATGCAAGTGTATGGTCCCAAACACAGACAGTGTGCATTTGCCGTGATTCACTAGCACTGCAAAAGAACCCGTGCGAATGAGCCCTTTTACTTTTACTTCTACTTTTTAAATTATTTTTTAACATTTCTTTAAATTATTTGTTGCAATTTTTTTTTTTCACAATGCTTTTGGGAGATGGGGCAGTGGATGGTGTCAGTAGGGCAGTGGATGGTGTCAGTAGGTTTTTGTTTTTATTTTATTTATTTATTTAGTATTTTTTACAGTTTTATTTTTATTTTTTTTTTACAATTTAATTGTTATTAATTTGTTTACAATTTATTTAAATAGCCCTTTTGGGAATATTTGATAAGATAGCAGGGGTCTAAAACAGACCCCTGAAGTCTCCCTTTTGAGACAGAGAACGTAACCGAGGAAACACATTCCCCAGTCCCTTTCTCTGTAGCCTCAGCTGCACTGAGGATGAATGAATAGGAGACAGAGGCTCCCGTTCATTCATAAACTAAAGCATAGTAAACACAGTTTACTATGCTTCAGTTATGAATGGACACAGGAGCGATCAATACGGATCATTCACTATGTTCATTCAGAAAGGAAGGGGTTGGTAAATGATATACGGTATTTACCGGCCCATTCCTCTGCTCAACACCCTGAAAGCATTCCTGGGGGGTCAGGGGGGCACTCAAGGGAGTCTGAGCAGCAGAAGGAATTAGATGGATAGTCATCAGTGATCATGCAGCAGGAGGGCAATTACAAAAACCAATCTCTCTGTATGGCTCTCCATGAAGCAGCTGAAAGATGTGGGAGGGAGAGGAGGAGAAGCTGCTTTATGGAAAACCATACAGGAAGATCGAGTTTTGTAATTCCCCCCCCCCCCCCACCGATCACCACCAACTGTCCATTGGATTCTCCATGCTGTGGGTGTTTTCTGTGAATTGTGGCACAGTTCACCTTTGGAGCAGTGCAGAAAACTGGAACAGTCTTTCTGCAACGCAGGTGACAGTTGCGAGGAAGTGTAAATGGAGCACATAGGAAACAGTTGTTTTCTGTGTGTCCTTGCAGAGAGCTATGTTTTTATTATGCAGAAAGTTTCAGCTTTAGTGTGAATGGGCCCTAAAGGGGGAATGGATTTCTGAAAGCTATAACCAAAAATAATAAGGCAGCGAGAAAGAACTAAGGCTTGGGTCCAACTTAGATCTGCCCAAACCCACAGGAAAATGTCACATGACAGAAAGCCACTGTCCCAAGCAGCTGCACCTGTGGAATTTATTCACAAAACTGTGTGAATGAATGATGCGGCAGCGGGTGCGGGAGAAGAAGATCCCCTGCCTGCTATTAAAGGGAGAGGGGATGGGGGGGGAGAAGGCAGTGGCAGAAACATGTTATATGGTTCACTCTCAATTAGCCTTTAATTAATTTTTAATATTCAGAGCAAACTCACCCATTCATCTATGTCTCCATGCTTATTCTGCTTCACTTTGCAAAAACACCCTCTAGCATTTCTCTTCATGTCCACATTGAGTAAGGGTAGGTGATTCATTTAGCTTTTTCCTCCTGGAATCCATCTGCCCTTAACTCAGGCACGTAGGCAGAAAGGAGTGCTTCATTGAGGAAGCCCCTCCTGCCTACTCAAACTCTCCTGGGATGTATGAGATCATTTGTCTAGATCTGGAAACCAGGAAGTAAATGTAGAAGTGTAAAAAAAGTTTAAAACAAATAAATATGATATATTTCACTAGCGATTTAGTAATGCTAGTAGTGTGAGGATTAAAATAGCCAATGTTTATTGATTTCAGTGCTGTGATACTCTGACTGACCAATTACTTGGTCAAACAACCCTGTACCCCAATACATTTTACTATCATATTGCTTTCCATTGCTTTCTAGTATAAAACATTAAAAAAAAATATTCAACAATGAGGCCAAAATGTATTCTGTTATACTTATTTGGTAAAAAAAAAAACAAATAAGTAAAGACAAATATAGTTATTTAGTTATTTATATGTGAAAGGTATAGGGGTTGATTTACTCAAGGCAAATAGACTGTGCACTTTGCAAGTTCAGCTGGACTCATATTCCTTAGTAAATGGAAATGTGGTGAAGCTTCACTTTTTAAAGAACACCCAGTTGCGGCAAGTAAAATTAAAATAAAATTAAATTAAAAAAACAGAATTTTTCTTCACATGATTGGATGATGGAAATCAGCAAAGCTTTACCACAATAACTAATCTCTGGGAAAAATAAGTGCAAATGGACTTGCAGTGTGCACAGTCTATTTGCCTTTAGTAAATCCACCCCATAAAGTCTACAAATGATGGTATATATTTTTTGCAATCCCAGAACAGTACAACCCCCTTCCCCCATTTTTTTTGTTAAGTAGGCACCCTAAAATCCCAAAGTATTTAGTGAGAGTTCTGACCTTTTGCCAGAATCTTTATTTAAATTAAGAAAGTAAATTAAATTTGTTTTTTTGTTTTCAGCATTGTCATTTTAATAAGTTAATTCTCACACACAACTTGGATGTACTTACATATATACATAACATTACATATACAGTACTCTAAAACACATTTTACTACTCCTAAGTATGAAAACATACAGTATATAGGGGGCCACATAAAGGGCCCAACATCCAAGAAGCATCTTCAGAATTTAAAGACTATAAGAAAGTAAATTAAATTGGATTTTTGTTTAAATTTAAATTGTAATTTTAACCATTTCAATACTGGGCACTTTTACCCCCTTCCTGCCCAGGCCAATTTTCATCTTTCAATGCTCTCACACTTTGAATAACAATTGCGCGGTTGTGCAATGCTGTACCCTACCTAAATTTTTATCATTTTGTTCACACAACTAGAGCTTTCTTTGGTGGTATTTATTCACCACTGGGGTTTTTATTTTTTTTTTGCTAAATTAACAAAAAAGGACCAAAAATTTTGAAAAAAAACCCCACATTTTTCTTTGTTTCTGTTATAAAGGTTTGCAAATAAATAATTGTTATACATAAATGTAGGCCAAAATGTATTCTGTTACATTTCTTTGGTGAAAATAACCCAAGTTGGTATTTATTATTTAGTCTGTAGGAAAGTTCTAGAGTTCACAAACTATGGGATATATCTGAAAATCTAATAAGTGGCATGGCAAGTTTTTTTTAAGTTGTATTTTTTTTGTCATAATTTTTTGGAAAAGGAAAAAATGAAAAAACATTTTTTTTCAACTTTTTTTTTTTACACATACTGTCACCAGTGCAGTACAGTGTCATCATATAACTGGTGTGGCAGTGATCAGGAACACTGACTGATGACAGTAC